GAGGAGGATCGAAACCTCAAAAGACGGTGAGGTTCAACCGTCGGTCGTCTTTGCATCACTTGCAACCGCCGTCTCAGAAGTATGATGTTGATACAAGACTACTTCGCTGACAATCCAACATATCCGTTGCACCTCTTCTGGAGAAGGTGTTGAATGTGCCGATCACTCTTTGTACAAACTGCGCAAGCTTGCGATGCCAATTGTCGGTTTTTTACTCAAAGGAGAAACGTCGCAGGCTTGTTGGGTTTTAGCATCTATCAAAAAATATCCACGCCTAGGCGTGTGATTGCATATGGTATTCCGGCTGACTATGCCGACAAGTATCTTCGCATTGACGAAGATACTACATTTGAGTCAGTGTGTAGGTTTGCCAAAGTGATGATCCGCGTCTTTGATCCTGTCTATCTTCGTGCACACAACAAGGAAGACACAATAAAGTTAATGGCAGCAAATGAGAAGCGAGGTTGGCCCAACATGCTAGGAAGCATTGATTGTATGCATTGGACTTGGAAAAACTGCCCGAAGGCATGGCATGGGCAATTTTGGGGCAAGTCTCGTAAGGCAACAATTGTGCTAGAGGTTGTAGCATCCGAGGATTTGTGGATTTGACATTGTTTTTTTGTATGCCAGGTACTCTCAATGATAACAATGTGTTGCAACGATCTCATTTGTTTGCTAGACTTGCTAGTGGTGATGCTACTGCTTGCAACTTCACGGTGAATGGGCAGGAGTACACAAAGGGGTACTATCTTGCAGATGGTATTTACCCCTCTTGTTGTACATTAGTGAAGAGCATCAAAAAGCCCAAAACCAAAAAGCATACTGAATTTGCAAAGGTGCAAGAGGCTACCCAAAAAGATATAGAAAGAGCCTTCAGGGTTTTGCAAACTAGATTTGCCATTGTTCATGGTCCTGCTCGTTTTGGGGACAAGAAAACCCTAAGCAACATCCTGACATGTTGTGTCATTCTTCACAACATGATCATCGAAGATGAGAGTGACTTGAACTTGGAGTTCTTCACGACAATGTCGGTAGCCGTGTGAAGCCAGCTAGAGGCCCTGACCGCATACAAGCATTTCTTCAGACATACCGGCAGGTTGAAGATGCAGACACCCACCATCAGCTTCAAGAGGATCTCATTGAGCATCATTGGCAGAGGCATGGCCAAAGGCATTGAGCACATTTGGCAAAGGCACCGGCCAATTTTACATTCATTTCATTTAATTCATGTGTGATCAGTATCATTGTTGTATTCGAAATAATTGTTGTAACAAATTATTAGTTTTATTTGGTGACTCGAATAATGTATTTTGGATTCATAATATTCACATTTTATGTTATTTGAGATGTGTTAAATTCTGAAATATGTGTTAAATTCTAAAAATCACGCGTTTTGCAGGCTCGACCGGGCTGCGGCCAAACATAATTTACGGTTCCGCTACGCGGGTTCTGTTCGGCCGCAGCCCGCGCGAGCCTGCAAAACGTGTTTTCCGCGAACTGTAAACGCGCAATACGGGTCGGCAATTTAAGGGGTCTGCTAGAGTTGCTCTAAGGTACTCCCCACTATGACTAGCCTTATGTTTTGCTTGAACATGCTAGTTTTTTTCTTTTTTTGTCACAGTATTTTTCTTTCAGTTTGTTGGTGTGGCTATTTTATTGCAACAGTTGTACCCAGCCAAATGTTTTGCTTCAACTAAACATTTGGAGGTTTTGTTGCTGACAGTTTTTAATGCTGCATTAGTGGTTGTTATTGCTGCAACAGATGTTATTTTTAGCTAGAACCGACTAATTTTTTTTGCTTCAATCGACCATTTTGGTTTTTGCTACTGAATTTTTGCTAGATACATGGCAGTGCTAGTCGATGATGCCGGCAAGCCGGAGCCGGTGACGTGAGAGATTTTGCTGCAACCATGACGACTGTGCGTCGGAATCGGCCACATTTCGAGTTACAGTCATCGACAGCAGATGCCGTCACACAATGACGGACCTACTGCAATCTCGGTAGACGTGACACGAGGGACGGCAAGCTGATGGCAGTGCTAATGCTGCCAGGGCTGGTGACATCGACGAACGCGGCCGCTGTGTCTCACGAAGGAGCAGCCAATAGACAGGCGCGGTACGCAGCGACTACGAGCTCCGCCTGGGTGCGTTGTGTGGGGGCGGAAGGTTAGGGGCGAAGGAGATATCATATCTGAACGGCTAGGAACGAAATAATCAAATGGACAGGGTGAGACCGGCCCAAATTTGGACCGGCCGACCGCCGCCAAGCGCTGTCCTTTGAAATGTTGAAATTATTTACTGGACGCAACTTGGTGGCGCTCGTGTGCTCTACCACAGCCAAGGCGCACACACCATTATTAATGAAAAATAATCACCCTTGTCTTCACTCACTACTGCGGGAATGCTTAGTAGTGGCGGGAGCTAAAAGTCCATCAGTGGCGGGCGAGTCTCTCAGGGGCTCCCACCTTGCTAATAGGTCATCAGCCCGCCACTGATAGGATGGGGGGCAATGATACAGACCTGCCACAAGTCAGTGGACATGCGTGCGGAGGGCATTTTCTTCCGCCTGTCACTGCTATGTTTACTAGGATGCACTGAAAATTGACGGCGTTGTTCGCCGCTGGTGATTCCTCTAGTTACCTCTTTGCCGGAGAAAAGGTGAGGGAGGCGGTGTTCAATTCACGTTGGTTGTTAGAAATTAGGAGATAAGGAGAGGGAGACGAAGCAGAGATGGCATTGTTGGGGTTCTGTCGTTCTGGATCTGACGGCGCCGGGCACCGCAGGCGTCACATCCCCATGCTCCCGGCGATGCAGCCATCTATTGGGGAGGTGGCCGAGAGTAGCAGCAGCATGGTGACTCTCGAGCTCAGGGTGGGGAGAAGCTCCATGGGAGGGGGAGGAGGTGGCTTTGGACCCTACCACACGTCCCCGTGGAGCTCGCTGGCAGGGAGAACTTCCGTGGGATAGGTGACATCGATGTTTTTTAGTATGTAAGTATCTTTGCCACTACATTTTTTCATATCCAAATTCTTGCAATTAACTGCCATGTGCTTTCTTGTAGGAAGCATTTTCTTGCATGGACCATGGATGGTGAGAAACAGAAAGCGACAAAAGGTATCTTGAAATCAGCCCGGAAGATACTCTCTGACGTCAAGCACACGCTGCAGTACAAAATCGTGATGTAGTGTTGGCCATTCGATGACAAGGGGCTTAATATGACGAGGAAGTTTGCTTGCCAGACCAACTTGGAGAGAGAAGAATACTTGTCGATGGTAAGTGACAACATTGGTTGCTAGTACTTTGATTCATCCGCCTCTTGTTAGTCAATGATTTGATTATGTCTAACTAGGTGAGGAACCCTGGATGAAGGAAGATTGTTGGACGACCTTGTTTGACATGTGGTGTGACCCGGCGTGGCAGGCGCAACATGTGGAGAAGGGAAATGATCGCGCCAAAATGCCAGGCCCGGCTCATTCCCAGGGGAGCCGGGACCTAACCATTTTGAAGCAAAACATGGTATGTGGATTAAGATCTTAACTTTTTCACACATCCTATGAAGAAAGGTATCCAAGACAAGCATTTTTGAGGTGCACGGTGTGGTGCTGCTCCGCTAAAGCTAGGATGGTTGCAACTGTTTGCACATCAATTCCCTTGCATAGCTTCCCTTCGCAAATGACCTTTAGCCTGTCCAGTCCATACCGATCCGCGGCAACCAGCAAGTGCTGAAATGCCATATCCTGATCAACATCACAATTACTTGGCAGGGAATCTGTGTATATGAAGTGAAGAAGTGCCTCGAAGATGACAGGCACCATGTCGTCGATCTTGATGCACTTGATGGTGGACTCCTCCATTGGACCAAAGAGCTCGGCCCTGAAAACCAAGGATCGTGCAGCTAGCACGCATCTATGTGCAGTGAAGAGCTGACCGCCGACACTGAATGTCACATCCACACCTTCCCCATCCTTCAGCTTGCACTTGTCGATAAACTTGGGCCAGCCCCGTATAGTACCTACCGACCGAAAGATATGTGTTCCGCCCTCTAGATTCGTAGTAGTTTTTCCATCTTTCCCCACTAAGCTGAAAGTGTACCTCACCTTCACAGTCGTTGTTGCTCCACTGCAGAAACACAAGAAGACTGACAGGTAGGCGGCTTTGTCCTCCTCCTCCCATCCATCAGGGTAGATCCTGATGTCCCAACCGTAGCCGCAGACACTGAATATGCTCGAGCTAACGAACTTGCCGGCTCCCATGCCCTCGAGAAGCGAGTACCTAGCCACCTCGAAGTTGTGGGCGGTGGTGGCGCACTCGGTCAGGCACCTTGATGATGTCTCGGGTATGGACTTGTTAACTGAAGAAGTTGAATTTTTGTTACCTATGGCGCAGGAAGGAATGAAATGGAAGCTGCAGGCTTTCGGGGTGCTAGCAACCTGAATGTTCTTGTACCCATGTGAAGACAACCAAAGTTCCGTTGATTAATTATTACAATGAGAGCAGTCCCAATGCTTGTACTTATCTAAATTGGCCAAGTCAGATATGCCACCGGAGAGAAAGAGAAAGGAATTGTACGTTATGCCATCGGAGATGGGATTCTCACAGGGCCTAAATGTGTCTACCATGCATCTGATCTGATTGCACAAGTACAAAACCAGACAGAGGAAACTTGGAATGTCTGAAAATGGAAGGGACTCTGGTACAGCAAATAAGGTCGGGTTCAGAAATTCAATCCAGTACATATCCATGTCAGAGCGTGTATACCTTATGTTGTTTGGTTCTACAGGAAATTTCATTACCAAAACAAAGAGAGAAACAAAACAACTCAGCAGAAATGAAAAAAAGAACCATGATGATTTTCTCAGAACTTTTACCTCAAATGTCACATTCTCGAAGAGAATTTCAGTTCTGCAACCGACAAACCAGACAGATGATAAAAGAAAATCAATATAGAGCATGACTAGGGATCCAAACTTAAAACAAAAAATCTAGAGCCAGACTGCTCATCATACTCCTGACGGTGGCGCAACCTTCTCTAAGATGTCCATCATAATCCATGGGCAGCTTGCTATGATGTGCTTGAATCCATCAGTCTCCTTGACAGCTCGAAGCACGTCCTGTGAAGAAAGGTATCTGAGACAAGCATTCTTGAGCTGCGCGGCGTGGTGCTGCTCCGCTAAAGCAAGGGTGGTTGCCACTGTTTGCACGTCAATTTTCTGGCATAGCTTCCCTTCACAAATGACCTTTAGCCTCTCTAGTCCATACCGATCTGCGGCAACCAACAAGTGCTGCAATTCCACATTCTGATCCAGATCGCAGTTACTAGGCCATGAATCTGTGTATATGAAGTGAAGAAGTGCCTCAAAGATGATGGGCTCCATGTCACCTATCTTGATGCGTCTCTTGGTGGTCTCCTTCATCTGACCAAAGAGCTCGGCCTTGAACACCAAGGATCGCGCGGCTAGCACGCATCTATGCGCGCTGAACAGTTGGCCACCGACATTGAATTTCACATCGACGCCTTCTCCATCCTTCAACATGTTTGTGAAGTGTGTTTGGAGGTCTGACTGCGGGACCGAGACTACAGTTGTGCTATCTTCCGTGCGAGGCTCTTTGATGACGGTCAAAACACACCTGATTGTGATGCAGTCGTCATTGCGGGATAGCAGTTCCTTCAGCTTGGACTTCTCAATATACTTGGGCCAGCCCCAGTAATTCGACTGAAAGGTATGTGTCTCGCTCTTTAGATTACTAACTTTTCCATCTTTCTCCAGCAAACTCAAAGTGAACTTCACCTTGACACCCGTTGTTGGCTTACTACACATGTTCAAGAAGGCAGACACGTAGGGAGCGTTGTCCTCCTCCTTCCACCCACCAGGGTAGATCCTGATGTTCCAGTCATAGCCGTCGACGCTGAAATCGCTCGAGCTAATGAACTTGTCGGCACCCATACCCTCAAGCAGCGAGTACCTAGTCACCTCGAAGTTGTGGGCGGCGGTGACGCACTCGTTCAGGCATCTGGACGAGGTCTCGGATATGGGCTTGTTAACTGAAGAAGATGAGCTGTTGGCCATGGCGTGGAATGGAATGAAAGGGGAGTTGGGAGTGTGGCTGTAACCTGAATCCTCTTGTAGAGTAGTACTCCTACTTCAGGAAGAAGATGAGTAGTTGGCCATGGCGTGGGTGCAATGAAACAGAAGTTACATACATGACTCAGGAAGACGTTTCGTCTTCAGTAAAGAAGGCGGCGTTGAACAAGTTCCCATGCGATTAAACGACCGTGCATGCAACGTTTCCAATTCCAATGCTGTATTTATGGCCAAGTAACGGTGCTGTTAATTCCAATGTTTCGGCAATTCAAAACTCAACTAAAAAAATTTGGTTGTCGCCTGACGGTCAAAATCAGCACTACCACGCAAAAAGGACCGTGCTTAAATGCAGAAAATAAACGAGAGGCAGAAAAACATCGTTTCAAGATCCTCCGCCAAGACGTACGTACGTCTTGGATCATGATTTGGAGCAGCAAAGCATGTTCGCTGCAAACTTAGCAAGCTACAAAACCACGTGTAAACGAACCAGGCCTATACTATACAGAGGGAAAAACAATTCTCTATTGGCAGACCCCAAGTCGGAAATAGTTTTTCAGGATCTGATCCCATGTTGCTCTTTTGATTTTATTTATTTATTCTGATAAAAGAGAGCTCACTCTCCGATTTCCATTACTAGAATGCTCTTTCAAAAATGATGGGCGTATGGCATTTTTCGATGAAAGATGGATTCAGTAAGCCAGTTTCTTGTATCACGTCTTCCATTACAATCATGCTTGGCTACGCGATTATATTGTTGCCGGACATGGCAGAGTGGCATGACACCGGCTTGTTAGACACGACACGCTCTAAGGCAACACATTGTTTCGGCAATATATATAAGAGAGCATCGTACAACGGATACACATGTTTATATGCTGGGATCTATCATTGCTTTCCTATGTTGGTCGATCAACGAAGAGAAACAACTCCATTCACTAATATAAAAGTACACACGAATTAAAATGAATGAACAAACATACTCCCTCTGTAAAGAAATGTAAGAGTGTTTAGATCACTAAAGAGTAGTAATCGCTCCTATATTTATTTTTACAGAGGAAGTAATAATGAATGAAGGGAGTAGAAGGCAATGAGTTTTAATCTTGTACACCAAGATTGTAATAAAGAAGATAAATACTCCCTCCGTCTAGGTGTGTAAGTCGTCTTACGAAAACCAAATAATCCCAAAACACTTAGACGCGGTGCATTAAATTCTACCTCGTTTCTTGTTTCTTTACATATCAATCAATAAGAGAAGTAAGATGTGCATGCTTTTAATGACTTGAGACTACCAAACACGACATGCAGTGGTTAGTTCATTGCGCAATGCTATTAATTAGCAAATGAACATTAAGTTTCTTGTTTTTCCCTCCTCCTTGGTCACGGTGCACAACCTAAAATGACTTACTCACCTAGACGGAGGGAGTACCTAAGTTTCTCTCCCTATGTCTCGTTTGAGTTATTGCTATTGTGTTGATAACTGTGCTGTGTGTTTATGTGCTTGATTAAATCACATGATTGGCATGTGCGATGCAAACGATTGCCAAGTGTGGTCAGATGACTACGTTTCACAACAAATTTTGCAACAATTGTGACATATATCTTCCAAGTGACCTAAACATGAACTTTGCACTGCATCACCCTACGGCTTGTGCTTCAACATGTATTCCCAAGAAATTTCGATAGTATGCTTGTACAAATTCTAACCAAATGTACACTTGGGAATCTTCTACGTCTGATAGCTAGGCCCCATTAACCTATGTCTCTCAATATGTACACATACCACCTCAACATGCAAACATTCATCCACCTCAACATGCAAATATGCATGAGAAAATACTCAACTCAATGATTAAGTATAGTAAATCATATGTCTTTTTATTAATTTTACTTCTTATATTATTATTTAAATTCCCATTCCATACAAATAGATCTAATATAATATTATATATAGGTGGGTCTATTATATATATATATATATATATATATATATATATATATATATATATATATATATATATATATATATAAGGTGGGTCTATTCTACAACTGATTGTAGAATAATATATTCTACAATAGGCAAGCCCCTATATAAGGTAGTTTTGAATCGGAGACCGACCCGACCAGGCAACACCTGCCCGGATCCCGAAAACAGATCCCCTG